GACAGTTTGACCAACGGTTTTGCTTTTCTAATAATAAACATTTCCAGGTTCCTAGTGGAGAATGAAGAAATTCGTATCTTTCAGGAACTCTTACAAATCACTGAGAATTCAGAATATTTACAGAACCTGTGGGAATGAAGGGGAGCATGGCTTAGAGGAAAAAAAGATAGTTTAACTGCTTACATTAATCAGAAAGCATAAATACAGGCAGTTCTTCAGGTAGTATAAAATCTTAAAATGATGCAAAGCAATCTTAATAATCAGTGGGAAAAATCATGATTACTAAATAATTTCTACATTTTTATCCAGATATTCAAAAACTCCCTTAAATGTCTGTTATGATTATAGAGGGAAGTGAGAAAAAATGTGCTTTAAAATATTAAAACCATTAAATAATTAAAGTGTCATTCCTTTTTTAAAAGCTTTGTGAAAATAGTTGGACATGCTTGCCTTCTCGTCGTCATATAACTTAGGGCACACTGAGCCTCTTTTCTACACCTTGGTGAAGGGTCAGGCTCTTTCTAAATTCGTGTCAGCTTCCACCATTTTATTCTTTGTCTTTTCCATGTTGCGAAATATCTTTGAGAATTCCTGTACTGTGAAGTGTTTTGCCGGAGCCACTTTCTCTGGAACATCTTCATCCTTTTCGACACAAACACATTCCGATTTGCGTCCGTGAGTTCACCTTCCCCGAGTTCCTCTGGTCGTGTAGCTAGTCTCTCAATAACGCCAGTGGTCCCACTGCCAGCTGTTTCTTCTAGAACTCCTTTTATATTCAGTTTGAATTCCACTTCCAGGATAATTATTTTTCTTTTTTTTCTTATACTTTCATCTTGATGGCCAAATCCCTCTTTTGATGAGCAATTCTTGTCATATACATTTATCACTGGGAGACAACGTGGCAACTAAAAGTACACACTTCCTATTTGTACATAAACTGAGTAACGTATGCAGTGTCCAGAAACCAACACATTTTAAAATAAGTGATATTTTGCCTATCTGCCTTTGGCTCAGGTCACGGTCCCGGGGTCCTGGGACAGAGTCCTGCATCGGGCTCCTTGCTCGGGGGAGCCTGCTTCTCCCTCTGCCTGCCACTCCCTCTGCTTGTGCTCTCTCTCTCTCTGACAAATAAATAAAATCTTTAAAAATATATATAAATAAAATAAGTGACATGATCAGTCACATGATAGAAAACAATGTGCATTTGTTTTCTGTGCAGTGACTTATATGAACTAAAGATCCAATGCTGAAGCTTGTAATTTATGCATCTACTCACTACTGAAATTCATACTGTGTTGTTGGACAATTGGTGTTATTTGACTGAACTGTCATAACTGAAATTCATTTATATCAAAACTGTGCAGTGTGAAAATTTTCTCTATGAAGTAAGCACCCCACTAAAGAAGCTAGGAAAAAATAAAAATAAAGTGAGTCAGTGGAAGGCAAAAGGTTAAATAATGAAAAACCTGGAAAAAGTACTTAGGAGAAAGAGAAATGGCCAAACTGTTTTTAAATTTTTCATTACTGTAAAATAATAAATGTAAAGGTAAAGAAATAATAAATGAATACATTTAAAAAATGAAAGATTAGCCAGTAACTGATGGGGTTTGTAAAAAATGAGAAAACACAAACACAAAATTAGGGATAATAAAGGACTTGTAGTTACACACACGGTGGAGAGAAAATCATTAGAGACCAATTTGCTTGTCTCTAAGAGGATATCTTTAAATGATTTTCTTGTAAAATATATTTTACCAAAACTTATTACAAATTATAGCAAATCTAAGCAGAATAGGTTCATAAAAGAATAGGGAAAATGGTCAAAGAACTGTCAACTGTAAAAGAGACACCAAGTACCCATTGTTTTGAAAAGGGAATTTTACCAGAGTTTTCAAGAAAACAGAATTCCAGCGTATTCAGTTTCAGAGTATTAAAAAGACAGTTATTTTCTAGGGGCGCCTGGGTGGCTCAGTCCATTGAGCATCGGACTCTTGGTTTTGGTTCAGGTTATGATCTCAGGGTTGTGGGATTGAGCGCCACATTCAGTGGGAGTTTGGGATTCTCTCTCTCCGTCTCCCTTTCCCTCAACCCCCACTCGTGTGTGTCCGTGCACATGTGCCCACACGTTCTCTCTCTCAAATAAATCTTTAAAGAAAAAAAAGAGCATTATCTTCCATATTATTTTTATGAATTGAATAAAAATTTATACCAAAAGCTGAACACCATTATACACAAAAAAGGAAAATAGAGATTATCTAATTTATAATATTGAAGCATAAATTGTAGGTGATATATTGGCAACTGGAAGTAAGTGAACAACATGATGCCCAAGCGGGGTTTTATGCAGAACTGCAAGGATAACTCAGTATTAGGGAGTTTATTAAAATAACTCATCATAATATGTCTGAAGAAGCATCCCCAGTGATGCTGAAAAAGCATTTTCTAAAACTCAATATCCATTCTTAACTTAGAGTTCTCAGTAAAGTAGACAAAGAAGAATTATTTCTCATTATGATGAAATATATCTAATGAAGAATAGTGCAAAAGGTTCTTCGGCAAAGTGAAGAAAAAAATGGAATGCCTACTCTCTTCATTTCTATTTAACATCATTATGAAGGCTGTGAGCCATTGAAATCAGACAGAAGAAAGAAATTAGAAGCAAGCTAATTAAAAGGAGGCAGTAAAATGTTTATTTTCAGATATTATCACAAAAGTGTAAAACCCAACAGAATTTACCAGAAAGCCAACAAGAATTTAAGTCAATTAAGTAAAGTATAATAGGATATAAAAATGATGCACAAGTATCAATACCTTCACATAGAATAATTAAATGATAGAAGATTTGAATAGGGAAATACACCATTTATAATAAGAGCAGAATGAAAATATCCAGAATTATACTTAATAAAAAATATGACAAATTTATATGAAGGAAATTGATTTGCCCATCGCAGGCACATGGTCCCATTCCCTGTAGGTGAATGGCTCAAGCAGTGTTTGGGACTAGACTCAGGTTTAGAAAAGAGAGAAGGTGGGGTGTCTGGGTGGCTCAGTCAGTTAAGCATCTGACTTTTGACTTCGGCTCAGGTCATGATCCCAGGGTTGGGATCAGGACATGATCCCAGGGTTGTGAGAACCATGTTAGTTCCCTGCTGAGCTGGGAGTCAGCTTGAGATTCTCTCTCCCTCTCCCTCTGCACTCCTCTCTCTCTCTCTCTCAAAAAAAAAAAGGAAAAGGAAAAGGGACAAGGAAATGCTCAGGGAAGGCTTTTCTTGCTCTCAGTCAGAGACCCAGTGAAATAGACTCTTTCTTCCTGCTTTTACTTCACCCTGTCAGCATGAACACTTGGGCCTATAGCCAGCATGACGGTGAGGTCAGGGTGTGGAGAATTGCTGAGGCTATCGTGGCGATGAAACCAGGACTTCGATCATTCCACTCCTGCAATTTCTTTACCTTTGGACATCCTGATTAGTGACATTACTTATTCTATCAGCTCATTCATTTGGTACTTCCTGCTATTTGCAACCAAAACATAATCTGAGGTAAAAGCTGTGTCAGGCTTGGCACTGTCGGGTGGCACTAAAGTTTATTTAGTGAGAAGAAAACATATATACACTTCTAAATCATTTTAAAAAGTGCTTTAAATTAAGTCAAATTGAGGATTCCAGCTAAATCACAGGTCTGCTGGAAGTAATTTGATCCCTCCCTTTTAAGGTCATTGAATTCAATCGCGTATGGATTTTAGTACCTGGTCTGCTTCTCTGAGAAGAGTCCAGATGATGCAGTGATACAGGACACAAACACCATTTATTTTTTTTTTTAAGATTCTACTTACTTATTTGACAGAGAGAGATCAGAAGTAGGCAGAGAGAGGGGGAAGCAGGCTCCCCGCCGAACAGAGAGCCTGATGCAGGGCTCGATCCCAGGACCCTGGGATCATGACCTGAGCCGAAGGCAGAGGCTCAACCCACTGAGCCACCCAGGCGCCCCAGGACACAGACACCATTTAATGATCAATCCTACGACAGAACAAGTGATCATTGGTGTAGAAAATCAATGTAAAAATGATTCAGTTAGAGTTACTGTTTACCAGCTGATTATGACTAGCCAGGTTAGGGAGCTCTAATCTGAAAACCTCATATGCTATCATATACACGTTTCAGTGTCAACATGCCCTCTGTGAACGTCTAACATAGAAGACCTTGAACCAAGAGATAGCACCTCAAACTCTGCAACTTGAGGGCAGCTAGAGTAGTCTATAGGACCAATTATTTCATGCACAGCAGTAAACAGGAAGCAAAATACCATTAATAGTCTCCAGAATTCCCTAGGGTCCCAAGAGCTCTCCACAGCTTCAGGCCCTTGGCTTCTGTTGGGGAAGATTTTTGGACAAAGGCCTGCTAGAGGGCCACCTGAGTGGCTCAGTTAAAGCACCTCCCTTCAGCTCAGGTCATGATATCAAGGTCTTGGGAACCAGCCCCATTTCCGGCTCTCCTTGGCCTTCTTCTGCTCTGCTGTGCTATCGTAAAATAAAACAAAGCAAAACAAAAACAAAAACAAAAACAAAAAACAAACAAAAAAACCCTTGCTGCATTCCTTGTGAGCCGTTTAGGCTCTTCCTCAACATCCCAGTCTGCTTCTCAGAACTTGTACTAGAGAATTTCTTCTATTAAGATGCTCAGGGCTCCCATGGAAAATACCAGTAGCCCTACCATGTAATGTGAATCTTTGCACCATTGGGGACAGTACTCCGGCAACTTCAGTTGCAGGTTTTTCTTTTTACAGCACTACTTGGTCCTCAACTGGCTGAACAAGTCACTGTTCAAGTAGAACTAGCAGCTACTTTCACCGGTTTTCTAAACAAATTTTTAAATTCTCAGCTTGCCACAATATAGGGACTGTGCCCGGTCAGCGGAGAGCCCACAGCCCTTCTCCAGGAAATTTAAGTGGCTCTGAAAAGAGCCTTTGGGTTATTTAGGGGAGGACGCTTACTTGGGCTAGTTCACTTGGAGCTGGTGTACTTGGTGACGGCCTTGGTGCCCTCGGACACGGCGTGCTTGGCCAGCTCCCCGGGCAGCAGCAGGCGCACGGCCGTCTGGATCTCCCTGGACGTGATGGTCGAGCGCTTGTTGTAGTGCGCCAGGCGGGACGCCTCGCCCGCGATGCGCTCGAAGATGTCCGTAACAAAGGAATTCATGATGCTCATGGCTTTTGAAGAGATGCCGGTGTCAGGGTGCACCTGCTTCAGCACCTTGTAGATGTAAATAGAATAGCTCTCTTTGCGGCATCTCTTGCGCTTCTTTCCTTCTTTCTTCTGAGTTTTAGTTACAGCTTTTTTGAAGCCCTTCTTGGAAATGGTCGTGCCCTTTGAAGTCAGCTCTGGCATGATGAGTGTACAGCTCTATAGCGTTACAGCTCTCCAATTATAGCTCTAACGGCTCCAATACGCACCAAGTAAGCGAAAAGCACCGGAGGCTGGCGAGAGCAGTATTTATAGGCACAGCTCTGAAGTGACGCGTTGAGCAGACACCGTCTGATTGGTTAGTGGGCAGTGGCGTGAATGTAAATGAGGTGATTCTGGCGAGGCTTTCTGATTGGCTAGATAGCTGTCAGCCAATCAGACAGCAAATCACAGCCTACTGTCAGACTATAAATACCCAGTAGCGTCTCTAGCGGTTGGTTTGCTGCAGTGCACTCAGTTTTGTCTGGGCGTGGGAAGCAGGATGGCAAAGCATGCGCTAAGGCCAAATCCAGGTCATCTAGAGCAGGCCTCCAGTTCCCAGTGGGCCGAATCCACCGTCTGCTCCGAAAGGGCAACTATGCAGAGCGCACTGGGGCTGGTGCACCCGTGTACCTGGCGGCCGTGCTGGAATACCTCACTGCAGAGATTCTAGAGTTGGCGGGCAATGCGTCTCGGGACAACAAGAAGACGCGCATCATCCCGCGCCATTTACAGTTGGCCATCCGCAATGACGAGGAGCTCAACAAGCTTCTGGGCGGTGTGACCATCGCGCAGGGTGGTGTCCTGCCCAACATCCAGGCCGTGCTGCTGCCCAAGAAGACGGAGAGCCACCACCACAAAATCCAGAGCAAATAGTTAACAAGTCATGAATCCTAGAGAGTGACCTGAACGTTTGGTGAAGAAAAACCAAAGGCTCTTTTCAGAGCCACTCAAATGATCAGTGAAGGCTGTGCATAAACTGCCATGTATGTGAGTTGTCTACATACACGTACATACATGTGCCATGAATCCTGGTAAAAAATCCCCGCACACCAGACCTTTGGTTCTGCTAACGGGTTCTTCTGAGTTTTAAAGCTGTTAAGGATCAACAAGCCTTCCTGTAAGTGGTTGGTCAGCAAGGAAGATTTTTTTGAGAAGAAGAGAGAATCTGAAACAGTTTCCATGCTCCGTGTAGATCCCCCTGGAGACTTTAATCTCAGGACCCTAATCATGACCTGAGCAGAAATCAAGAGTCTACCTAACCGACTGAGCCACCACCCAGGCACCCCAGACGACAAAGTTGAGTCACCACATACTGGAGTCATTGGGAGAAGGAACTGTAATTACTCTTATCTTTGCAACCACCACTTAGTTTCTGAGCTAATGTAAAGGGGTGACTTTTACTTACTTTTTAGAGAACTTGCATGTGAGAAAGCATGGGGGAGGGGCAGTGGGACAGCAGGAATCCCAAGCAAGCAAGCTCCACACTCAGCTTGAGCCCCACCTGGGCTTGATCTCCAGACCCTGAGATCATGACCTGAGCCGAAATTGAGTCCCACGCTCTACACATTGAACCACCCAGCACCTGTAGACAGGCAACATTAACGCTAAAATTGAGTTAAGGACTATAGTTAAGTGGTGATTGGATAAGAACAAACAGGAGGGGGCGCCTGGCTGTCTCAGTCATTAGGCATCTGCCTTCTGCTAGGTCTTGATCCCAGGGTCCAGTGATCGAGCCCCCTGTGGGGATCCCTGCTAGGTGGAGAGCCTGCTTCTCCCTCTCCCATTCCCCCTGCTTGTGTTCCCTCTCTCCCTATCTATCAAATAAATAAAATCTTTTTTAAAATGTCTATCATAATGATTTGAAATTACTAAGAAATCTTGGCCAAGCTTTTCAAAAATTTTGAGTACAAAATAGTTTCAGTTGATTTGTTTGTACTGTGAACACCAAGAAAAATTGGAAAACAAATGAACATTTAGTTAGACTGTCAAATGCATAACTACAAAATATTCAGTAGTCTATCTAAAAGAAAAAGAATCTCACTGGTTTTCAAAAAAAAAAAAAAAAAAAAAAGCCATTCCAGACACTTGAGATCTACACATAGGATATGTAAAGAAGCAGATATAAGAAAGGTATAAAGTTCTATAAGAAGCTAAAAGATGAGCATAAAATACATATGTCAATTAGGGGAGATTGGGTTATGAAAGAGTTTTAACCATCTCTTGAATTAATGGACATAAATATCAATTAAGGCATGCAATTGAGGAAGGCACAAAAGGAAGGAAAAATTTTGAAGACTGAAAAGTTGTACAGATATATTGAACAAAATTAGATAATGTCTAGAACATAGCAATTAAATTTTTTAATGTGAAATTTTAAAATCAAGGAAGAATAATGGTATAAATGTCTAAATGAGGGATATGTGAAAAATCTAAACCGAAAAATTCTGAATAATTTCAATAGATACACTTCCATCAAGCAGGTAGCATTCAAGACCCCAGCCTTGCCAAAGCACAGAGTATGGAAAGGCGGGGGAGAAAGAAAATGACTTTATAGTAGAGAAATCTAGCAAACGGTATCTCAGTCAGGTGATCAGTGCACAGCATCAGTGATGAGCCATGTCGAAAATGTGCCTTTAAATTGGTATGTTGAGAAGGGCATTTCACATCTTTGGTCTTCCTCCCAGGAACCCCATAATTCCAATCAAACCGTGAGGAAAATATCAGACAAATCCAAGTTGAGGAACATTTTACAAAATATTTGACAATAAACCCTCAAAATTATGAAAGTCATGAAAAACAAGGAAATTCTGACAAACTGTCGTAGCCCAGAGGTGGCTAAGTAAACATGACCACTAAATGTCATGTATTTTGGGTTAGATCCTAGAACAGGGGAAAAACAAATTAGGTAAAATCTATTGAAATCCAAACAAAATTTAGAGTTCAAGTCACTGTGATTTACCAGTGTTTGCTCCTTGCTTGTAAGAAATGCACAAATATTGACAGTAGGAGAAATTGGGTGAGGAGTAGGCAGGGACTCTTATCTTGACAACTTTTCTATAAATCTAAAATTACACTAAGTTAGGGGTGCCTGGGTGGCTCAGTGGGTTAAAGCCTCTGCCTTCTGCTCAGATCATGATTCCAGGTCCTGGGATCCAGGCCCACGTTGGGCTCTCTGCTCAGCAGGGAGCCTGCTTCCTCCTCTCTCTCTCTGCCTGACTCTCCACCTACTTGAGATCTCTGTCTATAAATAAATAAAATCTTTTTTTAAAAAAATTACTTTGTTAGAAAACTTACTGAAAAGAACAGAACAATAAACTCAAATTTACTAAACAAAACAAAAAAAAAACAGGGAAAAGTTCTAAATCTAAAATCAAACACGTGAAATACAGCTCTTAACATGCCAGTGTAATTGGCTCTGAAAGGAGTCTCCAGGGTTTGGATGCTCATGTCCTCCTAAAAAACTCATTTGAGGGGCACCTGACTCTGGATTTTGACTTAGGTCATGATCCCCAGGTGGTGAGATTGAGCCCCTCATTGGTCTTTGTGCTGGGCGTGGAGCCTGCTTAAGATTTGCTCTCTCCCTCTGCCTCTGCCCTTCCCCTCCCCTCCCCTCCCTGTCCCACTTGAGCTTTCTCTCTCTTTGAAAAAAAAAAAAAAAAAAAAACCTCATTTGTGGCTAGTATACTTGGTGATAGGAAATAGTGCCCTACACACTGTGTCCCCAGGCATGAGAGTGCAGGAACCATCTGGAATTCCCTATACATGATAGCCAAGAGCCCATTGTAAAGAGCCAGGTGAGAAGACTCACTGAGAAGGTGCTGTAAAATCACGAACATTCATTCATTCACAGGGCTTCTGTAGAGATGCCAGTTTAGGGGTGAACCATCTTCAAGACCTACTCTATAGTAAGTGTAATAGGGCTGTCCGTAACATCTCTGCCATTTCCTGCCATTCTTCTTCTGCCATAATGGCTTCCTGGAGCCTTTCTTGGACCTGAGAGAAAACTTAGAGAAAGACTTGGAAATAAGAGACACAGCCTCCCAGTCTTGAGGAAAAGATAGCAACGGGTTGTGAAGCCACGGGACTTATTAACATACCGCGTATTCAGACGAGGTTTTGGGTAAACTCAATTTCTGAGGAGAAAAAAAAATCAAGATGCTTGTGAATGTAAATGAAATACTTCAGGTCAACTCTGATTGGATCGTCGTCCTAGTTGCATCGACCACTCAAAAAGCAGAAGATTGTCCCCCAGGACCTAGGTTCATAAGCAGTTTGAAGAGGAGCCCCACGCGGCTGCTTGCTTTTGTAGGTTTCAGGCTCAGCCTCTTGGAAAGTCCAACTTCCTTATCCAAGGTCCAGATTCCCAGAGGAATGGAGCAGGCCCAGGTTGAGTGAGATGTCCACTTGCTGCCCAGCAACATTAGAGGGAGGACAGCGATCTCGGCAAAGAGTGCATCTGGTTGGACACATCATTGTGTTGGGAGGGCTGTCTGCTTTCCAGTTTTTCCTGATGTGGTGTAGTAACTGCGTCTCTTTATCTGTTTGAAATAACCCTGTCCTGTGGTCCAAAGTGGTTCCCGTGTGCCGCCCAAGCACGTGCAGGTGACACTTTGCTGTTAGAATCATTAGCCTGAGTGAATTTCTGTTTTGTTTTGTTTTTTTTGAAGATTTTATTTATTTATTTGACAGAGAGAGATCACAAGTAGGCAGAGAGGCAGGCAGAGAGAGAGGAAGGGAAGCAGGCTTCCTGCTGAGCAGAGAGCCTGATGCGGGGCTCGATCCCAGGACCCTGAGATCATGACCTGAGCCGAAGGCAGCGGCTTAACCCACTGAGCCACCCAGGCGCCTCTGAATTTCTGTTTTTTTAAATAGTGAGGTGAGGCATCATTTCGTGTTTGGTGGCTTTTTGTCCTACGTCTTTTCAGAGTTGGAAACAAAATCCTAAGGTTTCTCTTTCCTGTTGTCTCTGCCCCAGGGACTGGCCCATACCTTCTGGAGTCAGAGAGACAGCTAATGCAAGCACTAAGCCTGCTTGGGAGATGCTCAGAGCTTTAACCAGCTCACTAGTAGCTTGGTCTTCTCAAGGGCGGCTTGCTGCTCTCATCCCCACTCCCATCTGTGCCCCCCCCCCTTTTAAACCAAGTGGCATAAGGGACAGAAGCAGTGTGCCAACTGGGCAATAAAAGTCCTCCCAAACCCCCAAATCCCTATCAAAGCTTGTGCCCCTTTCACATTCTTAGGGGTTGGATAGGTTTGCATCTTAATCCCAGCTTCTTGGACAATGTGCACAGTCCCTTACTCTTTTTTTTTTTTTTTTTTTTTTTTAATTTCTTTTCAGGGTAACAGTATTCATTGTTTTTGCACCACACCTAGTGCTCCATGCAATCCGTGCCCTCCTTAATACCCACCACCTGGCTCCCCCAACCTCCCACTCCCCACCCCTTCAAGACCCTCAGGTTGTTTTTCAGAGTTCATAGTCTCTCATGGTTCATCTCCCCTTCCAATTTCCCCCAACTCCCTTCTCCCTCCATCTCCCCATGTCCTCCATGCTATTTGTTATGCTCCACAAGTAAGTGAAACCATATGATAATTGACTCTCTCTGCTTGACTTATTTCACTCAGCGTAATCTCTTCCAGTCCCGTCCATGTTGCTACAAAAGTTGGGTATTCATCATTTCTGATGGAGGCATCATACTCCATAGTGTATATGGACCACATCTTCCTTATCCATTCATCCGTGAAGGGCATCTTGGTTCTTTCCACAGTTTGGCGACCGTGGCCATTGCTGCTATAAACACTGGGGTACAGATGGCCCTTCTTTTCACTACATCTGTATCTTTGGGGTAAATACCCAGTAGTGCAATTGCAGGGTC